CATGATCTGCAGCCTAAATTAACTAGAAGCAGGCTAGCCAGCTCCCAGCTAACACAGAGAAAAAGAAGGAAGCTTGAGGAGTTCCTGGAGTACAGAATTTGAAGTCTCGGGATAAAGGGCTCTAAAAGTCCCAGGTATGCAAACAGCAATCTTCTCTTCCTCCACCCTTGCTAATCCATTAGATCACATTCCTAAAACAAGTCACTAAAGGCCATTCCCTTATCTGACTACACCCGACTCATCCCTGAGGCTGAACATCAAGATCCAATTATCAAAATTCATCAAGATCCAGCAATCAAAATTCATTATTTGGCTACATTAACATGTCCAATCGGGACTTAGAACTCAGACTAGCACAGGCCCCCATCCACCCACCCCCTTTTTTTTTTTTTTTCTTAAAAACCACTCCTGCAAAAAACACCTGCTGCTGTCTGTGCCAAATTCAGAGGCAGCCACACCCACCCACTCATGGCCCCCAAACCTTGTTCTCTCCATGGTAGTAAAATCTCCTTTGTGCTGAGAATACGGTATCTGGGTGTGTTCTGTACTAACTCTGAGGCTCCTTCAGGATAGAACTGGTTGCCAGTACCTTGTTAATGAATTGCACTACAGTAGTTCAACTGGCTCATTCTACTACTTTCTGGTACATAGGAGAAGAAACAGCTAGTGCAAAACAAGAGATTTTATAAAATAGAGCTGGTACAGGGCTAACCACTTCTGTAGTCTGACTGAGGAACCCTACTTCCCACTTTCAGCTATTCCAAATCACAGAAAGGTGTAGACCTAAATTGTGTCCACCCTGTTCCCATGGCTTAATCAGGAACTACAATAGCAAACTTCCCACACTCATAATCATTTTCCAATGGTCTTCTTGATGCCATCTTCCCTCAGGTCAGGGTTTAAGTTGAGCTGGGTGTGGTGGTGCACACCTCTAATTCTAGCACTGACAGGAGGATCTTCACATGTTTGGGGACAGCCATGTTCCACCTAGTGAGGTCCAAGCTAGCAAGACTACGGAGCAAGACCATGTGGGGAAAGAAAAAAAACACCAAAGCCAAACAAACAACAGAAGAAAATGGATCACAAAGATCTAGCTACACTACAATGTTAGAAAAATAGCACAGCTGCAATTAGTAGCAGGCTTTCCGTTAGGCCACCAACCAGCTCCCAAATCATGACACAGAGACTTATTATTAGTTATGAATGCTCGGGTTACCTTATGCTTGTCCCTCTAGCTCTCATAACCTGCTTCTCCTCATCTACATTTTGCCTCCGGGCTTTTTATTTTTCTGTTCTACTCTGTGCCTGACTGATGGGTGCCTGGCTACCCCCACCCCCGGCCCCATGTCTCTCTCATTCTCTCTTCTCCCTCTCTGGAGCCTAGATTCCTTCTACTTCTGTCTTCCAGCCCCACCTAGCCCATCATACCACAGACAACACACGCAGACCTTAGAGAGAAAGGCTTCCCTTTAAAACCTGCACAGGCACATCATCAGGAGGAATATTGTAAAGAGATAGTCACCGTGCATGGAATGGGGAGGCCCAAAGAAGCACCTCCAGAGAAATTCTGGAGGAAGAAATTCTCTATGATTTTTTTATCCTCTCAGGAAGGTATTCTCTCATGTGATTTAGTCTGGGACAGCCTAAGTGATGAGGAGCATGGAGGAGGAAGGTACTGAGTAGGAAAGTTAGGGGCTATTAAGCCAGAAAACAGCATGGATCTTTAACTCTCTGTCTCAGAGGGCAGGAGGTGGAGGTCAAGTGATTTCTTCAAGCTCATATCTCGAATCCTTCTAGAGATCAGCATCTTAAAGGAGCAGGCCCGTGATCTAATAGTACAGAATAGAATAATTCTCTATAAGGTGATTCTATAATATAAAATGTTCTTTATATATATGATTGTTATACTTAATTGTAAAGACAGTAAATGGATTTACATTGTTTACATAAAATTCTCAAAAAGCAAGAAATATTTACTAGCAAGATTTATGGTATTCATAACTAAGTATTAAAGAAAATGTTTATATTCGAGGATTAAATGGCAGTAAATATGTACCCATTTGTTTATACTTACTATCTAACAAAACTTTGTTTTAAATTAGAATGACAGAACACATGAGTAAGGTCCAGTCTCAGCCTTTGGGCCAATCCTACCTACAATCTCTGTAGAGTTGTTGCTTTTAAAATGTCATTTCTGAAGTGAAAATAAGCAAAAACAAAGATTTACTTTGGGAAAATGATTTTATTTTATTTGTTTATTTATTTTTGAGACAGGGTTTCCCTGTGTATCTTTGGAGCCTCTTCTGGAAATAGCTCTTGTAAACTAGGCTAATCTCGAACTCACAGAGATCCACCCAACTCTGCCTCCCAAGTGCTGAAACTAAAGACATCCACCGCCTAGCAAGTGATATTTTTTAAATTGGTCCTTCAAGGCAATGATAGCCAACAAAATGAGAAATCACAAAGTATGTTTATAAAGACTTGGAATGGCATTAAGTAGTGTTAATTATGACACAGAGGTTAATTTTAGTAGTTTATTTGAACAAAGAAAAAGAAAATGGCATGAGAATCAGGTAACTCCCAAACCAAAGTAGGTTCTACAACTCTTAACAGTGTCATCTGAAAGCATTTACAGAAAATGGAAACAACATTGAAAATGATATTGGAAGCAATATAATCAACTAGTCAACAGGTCAACTAGTCAACCTCATTGTGAGTTATTGGATTGATTACAGAACCTCTGGAACAATGTTTAATTACTGAGATTAAACTCTACATTAGATTAGCCTCTGTCTATTGGTGGTACCCAGTTCAGATCCATAGCCTCTGACAAATTTGACTTAACACTAAGAAGCTATCAATTTCCTAATATCACCCAGTTTTTGGACTGACAGACCTACTACCCAAACTATTTTAACTCTCTAAACACTGTAAGCAGTATTAGATCACAACAAGGATAAAACATTAATAACTAATTCAATTGTAACAGGGCATGAACTCCATACAGTAATTATCCTAATTTCACTTTCAAGATGAAAGTAAAATACAGCAAAAATGTATTCCCTGCTGTTTTCTAACAAGTCAAAACAACTTAAACATTTTCCTTCCCATTCTGGTAATTCTGTATATCTGTAATTTGCAATGTGTAGCTTTTTGTTCTGGTGCCCTATATTTTACATAAATACCAATCAGTAGTTTATTACCTAAAGAGAACACAACTCTATTCTTACTCTGTAACAATGTGAAAACCACAAAAGTATTAAGAGATCTCATTAAACCCGAGGTAATGTCCTGATCAAACAGCATATTGAGGCAAGTTCTGTTATTGTTTATTGAAAAATTAAATTTTAAAAGCCTGTTTTGATTAGAAGAAAATCAGACAGGGATCTTAAAGTATTTTTATAAAAGCACTGTATCGTCAATACCTTTAAATGCAATTATATTGTGACTAATGGGTTTTTTGTTAATAATAATTTATTTAGATTCCAGGACAACAGGTTTCGAGCACACTAAAAAATTTCCTGTCCTAATGTTCCTGAAAATACAAGTTGCTTTGCCTAGAGTGCTTAGTTTCAAAACTAAGTACACCAACACATACGAAAACACGTGTTAATTTAATCTTAGTCTTTTCGTTTAAAATTAGTCTTTGTTGTGTTTGGGGACAGGGAAGATGATAGGAATGACTTGCAGATAATATAACATAAAGCCAGATTTGAAAACTAATATCAGTGCCTTCCACAGTAACCAGAACTAGCAGAGGCTTCTCTTCGCAGTCCTCAGATAAGGAACAAAACAAAAACAAACAAACAAAAAAGAACTTTACTACTTTAGCAAGATGGTACGTAAAAGCTGAATTCTAAAGAGAAAGAGAAAACTTTTTGCCTTGGGTCTGGAATGATGCCTCGGAAATCCCTAAGTCCCACGGGTTCCCTAATTAATCACGACATCTAACGTCCAGATTTTCGGCGGTTTGTTTGTCTTTTACACTCTACAAAACTGTGCGCTTAAGAAGTAAAAGAATCGAGAATTGCATGGTGTCCTGCGCCTTTAATTCCAGCACTGGAAGGCTCCGACCAAGAGTTCAGGGACACGCTGGGCTACAAAATGAGATCGTCTCCAAAAATTAAAAAGTAATCAGTAAAAAAGTCCAGACGCTCAATGAAAACCCCGGAAACGGGAGGAAGTCACAGCCAAACGCCAAGTGCACGACAATCGGCGACCTGACACCTCTACGCTGCAGCAAGGGCGGCACTCACCCAGCGATCGCCGGGGAAACGCAGACCGCGGGCGTTTCGAAGTCAGAAGCGCGACCCCACACTCGCTCTGCATTCGCTGCGCTCAATCTCTCGCTATGCAGCCACCGTGCGCACTGGGCGCCGCCATCTTGACGGTCAGAGGCCCGGGCCCGAGGTCCCTACGCCGCTCGCCCAGAGAGAAGCCGGTGCTCCAAGAAGGCGCTAGCTAGTCAACCCCGCACCTCCGGCGCTGCGTGCCCCGGGCAATATGACACATGTTATCCTAGAGTGACAACCAGGCCCAGTCAAAGCAAAGTCACCCTTGCAGTCGCGCACAGCGGCTCAGGCAGCGCCGAAGACAGCCTCACCGGCCAGGGGCGGGACGGCGGCGCGCGCTTCGTAACCCGGGCAACGGAGCCTGGGCAGGTGTAGGGGGCGTGGAGTCCCAAGACGCCAAGGTCTCGGCCACGCCCCCGGCGGTTCGGAGCGGTGCAGGCTGTGGAGGCTGCGAGCGAGCCACGGTGTTCGAGCCGCTGAGCGCCGTCCCGGGGAGTGTGCCTGGGGCTGGACGGCCTGGCCTCCTGCCGCTGGAACAGCCTGTGAGGAGCGCGGAGCCTCCGGGACGCGGGCGCCTCCCCTTAGCTGCCCGCCGCCCTGCCTGCGCCGCCTCCGCGCGCCTGGGACTCTGCTCAGGCCCCGAGCCAGGCCGAGCCGGCGCTTCTGCTTTCCAGCGTGCCCTTTGCATCGTTTGGCATTTGGGTTGACGTACCCCCAGAACCTCCCCGAAGAAGGACCTGTTTGTTTTTGTTATTAGGTTCTTTTTTGTTTTGTTTTGTCTGTTTGTTTTCAACATGGCAGCCTCCAGCCGCGCACAAGTGTTAGATCTGTACCGGGCGATGCTGAGAGAGAGCAAGCATTTCAGCGCCTACAATTACAGGTGACCCGGGGGAAGGGCCGGGAATGGGGTGCCCCAGGTCTGTCTCCAGAGGTCGCGGAACAGGCGCGCCCAGCTTGGGTTAGTGACAGGCTCCACTGCCCCGACGCGCACGTGCAACTGCCCACCCCCAGGTGTGACCCTCAGTGCCCGGCAGGGGAGGAGCCAAGGGCTTACCCTTCCAGCTCAGGGACATCTTCCCTGAGCTGACTGACACTCAAGTTGGTGCCTTCCTTAGACCCTGAGTCAGTGTCTTGTTTCTACGGTGCGGAAACGATGGATGTGAAGGCGCAAGTGAGGAAAGTTAGGACAAGCAAGCGTGTGCCACACATGAAACTTGCCTTGAGAATAGGAGTGGAAGCAGTTGGTCGGGACCACGTGGCCACAAAGCTGAAGGCTTGCTCTGGGCCCCCCTTTCATTTACACTGGTGTTTTAGTTAGAGACTTTGGTTCAGGTACCAGATGCAGTCAAATTAGAGCAGCTTTTCTCAACCTGTGGGTCCTGACCCCTCTTTACAGTCAGTCAATGACCTTGTTCACAGGGATCGCCCAAGACCATCAGAGAGCACAGATAATAACATTACGATTCATAACAGTGACAAAATTACAGTTATGAGGCAGCAATGAAAATAATGTTGTGGTTGGTGATCACTATAACATTAGAAACTGTATTAAAGGGTCACGGCATTAGGAAGGCTGAGAACCACTGAATTAGAGGATAAAGGAGAGTGTGGGTACATATACAAGGGATGCTAAAGGTGAAAGGAGCCGCCGAGCCTTCGGAAACTGAAATGTTAGTTTATCCTGCCTCACCAGACTGAGATCTTCTCTCTAGGTCCTAGACTCTAGGACCTGTAACAGCAAGTGGACAAGAGCATCAGTTCTTCTGAAATGAAATTTAAAGCTTGAGTTTATTTTAAGTTATATATGAACACTCACAAAATATCCATGTTAATGAGGTACCACGTGTGAACCTCACACTTCATGCAATAAAACTCACATTTCTAAGCCAGCCCATTTTTTTCCCCCTGCATGGCCCACTCTGCTACCTTTCTGAGTCCCCTTGTTGTTAGGAAGTTCTCCACCTCAGAGCCCCCTCCTCCTCAGCCTCTGCTTCTTTGGCACTTCTGACCTACCATTTCTGTAGAGCCCTCAGGTTTTCTGACATGGGGTGTCTTGCTGATTAACTACCTGACTCCACTGAGACAGAAGCATAATCCCGAGAAAAGAATCTGACCAAAACAGCTCATTTTCCTTTAATGGGTTACTTATTTACAGTTATTTCCCAGGTGTCTGGATTATTTCACAAGCTGTGCCCCACCCTTTATCATTTTAGACATTATCGACGTTGTGCCCTTAGGTGACTGGCTAGGCTGTGGGCTGGGTGTCCTGGTATCGGCTAACTCCTGAAACAGACCTGGTTCTAGGGGCATCCTCCTCTAGGAATTGAGCTGCAAGGTCCTGTGCTGGGTAGGCCATGCACAAACAACCTCAGTCTGCAGACAGGTGCACCAAACTTCTCTAGCAGTAGCCCATATTTTAGAAGCCTGAGAATATATACTTTCCTATCAACTTGAGAACAGTGTGGGTTGTACTAGTGAGTTCATACCCACTAAACACATGGTTAAATGAAACATGATGTTATTTGGTAACATAGCCTTTGGAGGATAAAGGGCATAAACACTAAACCTACAGGTAGATTTTTCATAAATATATAGTGCTAAGTACTTACAATTGATGGAGCATAGGAAGCATAGAAGACAATACTTGAGACAGAAGATGTTCTGCCTCAAGAATAAACAGAGACTTTGTCTCAGCAGAGGGTCACACTAGAGGGCACATCTGGGAAGAACAGATTAAAAAAAAAAAAAACCACAAGGAGCAGCCCTCACAAGAATATATAACCTTGGAGTTACTTGGCCTCTGGCATTCAGTTTTCCTCAAAGCAAAACTTAAGTCATTGGACTAAACAGCCTCTTAAGGTCCATTTCATTTCTAAACTCCCATCTGGAAATGACTTAGGAGCCAATCAATACACCAAAGGTTTTCAAGTCCATAGAAGTAAACAGAAAGATCTAGGCTGTGCCTAATAACATTTTTAAACTGAGCTTCAGCATAAGCAACTATATGCTGATATACACTCCGAGAGTAGTCTGTGACTCACACCAGGTGTGTCTTCCACAGGAATCTGGTGGTGACTTTTACCAGTTACCTTGTACCCAAAACCTGAGAGCTCTGCCAGCGGTATCACATTCCACAATAATAAGGATTGCTTGACATAAAGTATGTCTGCCTTAGTGCTGGAGAGATGGATCCATGGTTGAAAGCACTGGCTGCTCTTCCAGTGGACCTGAATCTATTCCCAGAACCCACATGGCAGCTCACACCTGTCTATTACTCCAGTTCCAGGTAATCTGGCATCCTTACATCAATGCATATAAAATGAAACTAAATAAAATATTTTTAAGAAAGAATTCACAAATAGCCACTTCCCTCCTCTCTTAACCCAGCACTGTATCATCACAGCTATCACTGAAAGTATCCATCAATCATATCTGTGTGGCTCCATTTTCTATTCTTTATGTTTTAAGCACATTTATTTTTGACAACCTCATGAGGTACTATTTTATGAACTAATCAAAACCAAGCATTAGCGATACTAGCCTATCAAAAGTCATGACGCTGATGCTGTGTGACCAATCCATTGTGGAGCCAGCATATGATGGGACAGACTGTAACCCTGACACTGGGGAAGTAGGAAGATGAGTTCTAGGTCAGTCTGATCTATATATACAGCAAGTTCAAGGCCAGCATGGGTTACATGATTCTCTGTTTGAAAAACAAAATGAAAATTAAAAAGTAGTGAAAATTTTTCAACAGCCTGAAAGTTTGGGACCTAAAATAATCACAGTACTGAAATATTTTGTAGGAACTGTACCTAGGCATTGCTTCAATAGCATGGCCTTTGGGTGCTTCTCCAGGTTTTATCCCAGCACTAACAAGCCTCTCTCACTTACCCTTTATTCTCTGTTGTTTCTTCCCCCCCCCTCTCCCTCTTCTCTCTTGTCTCCTTCCCCTGTCTCCCCTTCCCCCTCCCTCTCTCCTTCCCATATGCCCAGAGTGAATTGGAATGAGCCTATCAGGAATCATACCAATACCAACCAGAACTTTCTGAAACCGTGCTGAGGCAGTGACTCAGTGGGTAAAGCATGAGGCTCTGAGTTCAGATCCTGAACACCCAGGGAAAAAGTGAGCTGCAGTAGCACGCATCTATAATCCAAGCACTGGTAAGGGACTGAGGAGGGTCCCTAGAGTACATAGGCTAGCCAGTCAGGCTGGTTGGTAAGCTCCAGGTTCAATGACAAATGTGGTTTCAAAAAAATGAAAACTGAAGGAGACCACCCGTACATATGCACAAGTAAAAAAAAAAAAAAGAAAAGGTGAAAAAGAAGGCCTTGGTGCCAAATAGTCTTCCTCCTTAGAACAAGCTGAGAAATTCCTATTATTTCTTAAACGTCTCTGTGTGTGTGTGTGTGTGTGTGTGTGTGTGTGTAACTGCACAGGGCCAGGGAGTAGAATTCAAACATAGGTGGCCCTGCCATTAAAAGATTATGGTATGGTTGCAGATAAGGACTACTTCAGAAACTAACAGAATTAACAGGAAGCATGTGCCAGAGTGATGTAATGGTTTCCTAATGATTTGGCTTCCACTTGTTACACTGCTGTAAAAATAGGCTTCAATAACATTGTGATACTCATTTCAACCCTTAGGGCATAACTCAGTTCCATTTTGATCTTTATTCTGTGTACCATTTCTTCCTTAGAAACTGATGGGGGCCTTCATTTCTATAAGAGTATCTTCAGCTCTCCAAGGGTATCCTTGTCCCTATTTTCAAACCACAGCCTCCTGCTGCACAATAGTTGATGATAGTAGGATATGTAAGTGTTTGGGGTAGATAGCATGGGGCAGGTATTCTGCCACTCACGGAATACTGAGTGTTTAGCTCGGGTAGAAAGGTATCCTGGAGCTCAGGAGCCAAGGAAGACCATAGGTCACAGTAAGTGTAGCAGCTGACAGCCCTGCCTCAGGGAAGAGTTCCCCCTCTGTATCAGCTCTGCTCAGGCAGGAGACTTCTCAGTGTAGCAGCTCTGCTCCGGCAAGAAAGGGCTTCAACAGTGAACAGTTTGGCTCTGCGGTGTAATATCTTATAATTTCAACATTTAACAAGTGGAGGCAGGAGGATCAGAAGTTCAAAGTCATTCTCAGCTACATAGCAATAATCAAGCCACATTGAGAAACATGAGATCTTTCCTCCAAAACAAAATGTGTATCACTGCTGATTTTTTTTCCTTTGAAAGTATTTCCAAGTTGTAGTATTTTTAACCTAATATTAAAAAGCATAATATAAAATGAAATGTTATTTAAATAACAAACGAGAGAATCAAAGCAAAGAGAAAATGGAGGTAGAAAATAAAGAACAAAAGACTTTAAAATACTACTCCAAGTAAACAGAATGCTTGTAAAGTGTCTTAAAAATATTCTGCATTCTAGAATAGTAGACCAGTAAGAAGTTGGCTGCCTCTTACACTCCCAACAATAGCAAAGTGCAGACCTTACTAAGGAGGATCTTCCATACTTAGCTTGTATGACACCTTTCCTGTCATTGAGCCCTGCTACATTAAGTGTAGATTTTATACTCGCCTTGGTACCTAGTAAATTTAGTAAAGTTCTACCAATTAGAAATCACGTTAAGCAGTTTTTTAAAAAAAATCATATAGGGTACATGAACTAAGATGTGAATTTGTGGATTTGCAGATCTCGAATAACAGGTGGCCAGTCCTTGGAATATTGACTGATCAGTAATCAGAATACCTAGAATAGGGTTCTTGCAACTGGGTCTCCAGTGCCCATTTTAAGAAGCTGAATAAGAGTTGCCAAGATCATGTTAAAATGGTGTTACTGTGGAATCTTAATATCTGTATGGCTTCATGGTCACTCGGGG